CTCACTCCTTGTTCCTGTGTCCTAGGTACAAAACAATCAGTAGTAATTTTTATTCCTAATTCTTATATTTCTACTTAGTTTCTTATTTCAGAATGCTTGGTTGTGTTCAAGAGAATCTATGCTGGAGTATAGTCATCCTCCTAGCTGCTCTGTTGTTCATTAGCACATGCTTCATTATGCCTCTAAGTGCACATAGTTATGCCAATATCTGTCTGCTCTACTAGATAAGATTAATTCATATACTTTATTTATCTTTGTATCACTGGAATGTCTAATGTGGTGCTTTCCAAATCACAGCACTCAATGAATATTACTGAATGAAAGTCATTTTCTTACAATAATTCCCAGGGGAGAATTAAGAAATTCAATTGTTGAATTTTATTTGGGCTTTGGGTATAGAAGCAGGAGTGAGACTACCTACATAACTCCCCAAAGTGCCAAATATACCTGCATTCACCAACTCATGCATTTTTTCATATGCCTTATCAAATCAGTCTTCATATAAATCTCTCGGTTGGAGAATTTGGTTTCTCATGGCATTTCAGTGTTTGACAGGCTTTTTTTGTCAGAAAGTAACTAAACTCCCCCATGCTAAAAGAGTACTTATTTACAGAAATGGAAAATTTTTTTGCTACTTGAATTATTTTCTTCCGGAATGAAATAAGATGGCTTTGTTCAAGTTTAGTCATTTTTTATTTTCTCTTGCCTAAGCTCTCCTTAAATCTCAGAAGGCCTTAGTCCTTAGAATCCCAGAAGGCTGTAAATACTCTCCAACCCAATTATAGAATCTGAATTGGCATATGAATATAGACTAGGCTATTTTCAACTTCTTAAATAAGACTTTAAAAGATTTGGACATCTAAGTGTACAAATAAAACCTTTATAAAATGCTTCAATGCATTTTCTTCCAATTATTTAATCTTTCAGGATAGATATCATTGCTTTTAAAACTGACTCTCTGCTTCCTCTTTGAACATTCAAAAGACCTGCTGTACTGTAAGTCATCAAACTTAAAGTCTCATGTCAGCTTTCTTTATCTTTTGGACATAAGTGGGTAAGTGTATTTTTTTTGTCGGTTACTAATTGAAGAAAGGAACACTTTTTAAACCAAGATTTCAAATTTGAATATTTTTGCATAAAGTTTCTATTGTTATTAAAAAGACTGCACAAAGTAAAACTTTATTTGCTCTTTTCTTGAAATGAAAAAGTTTCCACTCAGTTTCTGTTGGGTGCACACACACACACACACACACACACACACACACACACACAAATACAGACATATATACACAAACACAAACACACTACATCTTAATATATTAAATTGAAATGCTGAAGAGTCAAATAATGGAAGTAAGTAGGAGGACATGAAAGTTGATCGGATATTAAAAAAGATTCCTTGTTTTAATAAAAGATAATTTTGAGAAAAATAAAAAATAGAAATAATGTGGATTACTGTAGAAAAATAGAGAATACATTTTAAAAATTAATAGTTTATGAGAAAATCAGAAACAAAAGTAGAATCAAACCAGCTGTCATTTATTAATTATTTATTATGTCCCCAGTACTGTCGGAGGGATTGCAGATCATTTACAACACATTGCTATGGCTCCCAACCCGAAGAAACGATCTAAGTAGGGATAGGAATCATCTCCACAGACAAACTAATCGTAAAGTAATCCAAGACAGTATTTAACCTATTCACCAAGCATGTGTGATTTCAAGAGTCCTAAGGGTTATGAGGAGAAAGAGCATGTATGGGCTCTAGTAGGATGAGGTAGTTTATTGGAGTACATGGAACGTGAAGGAGATTTGCATATGGAAAACAATGGGTAAAACAAGGTTGTGAAATGACATTCAGCAAGGTATAAAAACAGTAGTATGGTTGTGGCCAAGAATAGAAGATATCTTGCATATAATCTAATTCTTCTTTGAGTCACTTTTTAAAAAGAAGCTGACAGTTTAGGAGAACATCGAAAGCTGTTTGATTCATAAAACTGTAATTGAAATTAAGTAACACCTCCTGACCTTCCCTATGTTTGAGTGTGTTCACCAACCACATATTTAATTTAGCTACTTTCCTATCCTTTTGTCCTTTGTGTCTAATCTCCCTAATTTTAGAATTAAAGAGAATAAAGCTCCTATAGCACAATTTGATAATTCAAAAAAAATTAGATCATTAAAATGGAATTCTTCCTGAAAACCCATAAATGATAAAATAAGTTTAGCTTCAAGAAGCAGTGTGGGTCAGGCATGGTGGCTCAAGCCTGTAATCCCAGCACTTTGAGAGGTTAAGGTGGGAGAATTGCTTGAGCCCAAGAGCTTAAGACCAGCCTAGGCAACATAGTGAGACTCTGTCTCTTTAAAAAATTAAAAAATTACCCAGGCATGGGGAATGTGCCTGTAGCCCCAGCTACTTGGGAGCCTGAGGCAGAAGGATAATTTAGTCCCAGAAATTCAAGCTTGCAGTGAGTTATGAGTCTTGGTGACTGTGCAACTATCCCGCAGCCTAGGTGACAGAGTGAGACCCTGACTAGAAAAAAGAAGAAGAATTTTTTGTTTTTCGTTGTTTTTTGTTTTGTTTTGTTTTAATTTATTGGTGATTTACTAATCATCTTTAGCATTTCCATGAAACAATTGATTTTTTTAAATGCAGAAGAAATATAAATGGCAATTTACTAAAAAAGCTTGTCATGCATATCCTTAATATGAATGTACTCCTCTAGAGAGCATTAAGAGATACCACTACAAAATACTAAGTTTTCTGTAATTTTTTTTTTTTTTTGAGTTGGAGTCTCACTCTGTCACCCAGACTGGAGGGCAGTGGCCGCTCCCAACCACCACAGCCTCGATCTCCTGGGCTCCGGTGATCCTTCCACCTCAGCCTTCCAAGTAGCTGGAACTACAGGTGCAGACTACCACGCGCGGCTAATTTTTTGATTTATTGAAGAGATGAGGTCTCGCCAAGTTGCCCAGGCAGGTCTCGAACCCACAGGCTCAGGCAATCCACTCACCTCAGCCTCCCAAAGTGTGGGATTACAGGCTGAGCCACCGAGCCCAGCTAGTTTTCTGTAATTTTAAAGTTTTTTTTTCCCCAAATGGACTTTGTTCACAAGTCCATTTGGAAATGTTGGTTTTTTTCCTTTCTTTCTTTCTTTTTTTTTTTAAGGTGGTATCTCACTCTGTCTCCAATGATGCAGAGTGGTAGCATGACCACAGCTCACTACAGCCTTGACCACCTGGGTTTAGGTGACCCTTCTGCTTCAGTCTCCTGAATCGCTAAGACTATAGGCACACACCACCACACCTGGCTAATTTTTTGATTTTTTTTTGTAGAGATGAGGTCCTGCTATGTTACCCAGGTTGGTCTTGAACTCCTGGGCTCAAGCCTTCCTCCATGGCCTCCCAAAGTGCCAGGATCACAGTTGTGAGTCACTGTGCCCATAGGAAAAGTTTTTTCTAATTGCAAGACTAAATTCTTAGATTTTTTCAAATAAGCTTTAAAAATATGCAACATTGTTAAATTAGAAGGCTATTAAAAGAAATGGAAACATAGGAAAACTTGCCTGAAATGAAATTTAGCTAAGTAAAAAGAAATTAAGAGAGTTCTGTTTAAAACAGAAAGAGCAAAATAGGTATTGAGTAGTTTCCTGTGTCTTTAAAGCTTTTATTTGATTATTTAACAAGCTGAAGCCCTACTGTTAGCCACTTAAAAACTTTAGCTGATGTATGCAGTAATATTTTTACCTAGTTATTGCTATATGAAAGTTATATTAATCTTGGAAACGTTAGATTGTCAGTTTCCCTTTTGATTTTCTTACTTATGGTAATAAAATCTATTGGTATAGTTTATGATTGTAAACCTTACAATTTAAACATTTTCTTCTTTCAGCAATGAAAAGGAAAATTGCTTCTATTTCTTAAAAATTTAAATTCTTGTTAAAAATTGTACAAAAATTAAAACATTGTGCTATTTTATTAATGTGAAATCGAATTTCTGATTCTGCTGAGATATATCCATGCAGTTTAACATCTATGATCCTGTAGACAGAAAAATCTTAAAGGAAATTCTGTTAATCAGCAATGAATGCAAATTTACAAATGTAATCAAAATGTGTGCAGCATATGATATAAATTCTAAAACAGTATATTGTCCTGCATAAGGCATACTCCAGAAACTCATTAATAGGAAAAACCTATCTAGATGGCAAAAGAATGAGTGACAAGATGGGCAAACTAGAAATCTTAAGAAATTTTCATTTATTCTATGAATAATTGATAACTTCAGAAGCTTTAAAAGTTATCACTTGAAAATTAATAATAAGGAAAGGCCTGTCTTCAGAGATATTTCATAAGTTTACCTGACTGTTGTTGAATTAAAATCTCACACAAAGATGAAATTGACCAAATTTCCACAGGAAAAATATAAAATCTAACACATTTTACATTTGCCACAAGTTGACATGTGAAAGAGGTCTGAAAGTATGATGTGATTCCTGAAGAATATTGATTACTGCAGAAGGTCAATTAGTTTATGGTGAAAACTGCCTTATCTAATATAACTCCTTTAAATAAAAAGTTAAATAGGAAGCTCATTTAAAAAATTTTTTACCAAACAAATATAGATGCTTTATATACAACATTAATCCTAAAAGAGGCCAAATTGGCAGTTTATTTCGTTTTTTTTCTCCCTTTTGCAGAGATCTCTGAGTCTGTGCTTGAGATGTAAATGAGAAGCCCATTCTGCAAATCACATTAGTGTGCCGTTTTGGCCATTTACACATTATGTATTCCTGGTGCTACACAACAGCGAGGGTGGGGTGTGCCAGCAACACAATGTAACCTCCAGAAAAAGTCATCCTGAACCTTTTATTGTTGAAATTAAAAAATAAAAGGTACTTAAATACAATCATGAACATATAGGGCAAAACAGAATCATAAAATTTAAGGTTGAATTAAGCAGTGAGCTGAATGTTTGGGTCTCCAAATTGACTTTGAACCCAAAACCACTTAAAAATAAGTATGTTCACAGTTAACGGCAATTGGCTTATAGGTGAGAGAATGGTCGAAGTTGTTCCAGTTGAACTTCCAGGGAAATTCTCTCCTCAAGAACATCCTTTAATTGTAGCTGCAATTCACTATTCAATCTGGCCAGAACTATGTTGGTTTCCTTATTCCGTCTAATTGATGCCTGAATAGCTTTCTTATCTTTCCCAATAGATCTAGGAATAGAAGGTTGTGATGCAAGACAGCAGCTAAGACAACTGTCTTTTGTGTATGTTCATCGACTTCTGGCCTTAATTCATCTTCTGATTTTAATCTTCTTCTAACAGGCTTAGGTGGTGGAGCAAGAGGTGTTGTGCCTTTGCTCACATTGGCAGGAGCACTAGCAGCTGTCTTTTCTTCAATTTTACTATCTGTTTTGGCAACTCGAAGAGAACCTGCAGGATCAGAAGCTTTTTCAACCGACAAGACCTCTGGATGTTTCTCGGCTTCATCATCTTGTTCTTCATTTACATTTGACGCAGCAAATACTTCAAACTGGCTGAAATCTGCAAAATTTGGTTGTTCTGGTATCTGCTGAGATAAGGTACTAGTGTGAGTTATGAGGCCATTGGCATTCACTGGGCGATGAACAGCGGGACCAGGAACCTGTGAGGGTTGTGGTCTTGGAGGCACTGCAGGAGGATGGGCAACAACTCCAGCCTGCTGTTGTCCTGTGGTGACTGTAAAGGTTCGATTCATATCTAAAGATGATGATCTAGAATGAGAGGGCTGTGGCCTTGGAGGGGGAGGTGGTGTTGCAGTGTTATCAGGCAACGTTCCTGAATGAGACTTTTGACGAGTTACATTGCTCCCGATCTGTTCTGGGTCAGAAGTAAGAGTCTGAACTACTGTAACCATCTGCTATGGTATTTGCAGAAGCAAATTTCACTGACGAATTTATCTTATTTTCTTCTGAAAGGTCAGAAGGTTTCACAAGTAATGGGCTAGTGGGATTCGTATGATCACTGCCAGTTCTTTTAAGTCCCATTTCCTGCATGTGGATTTTACTTGGAGTCATACGAATAGGAACTGGATGAACAATAGCAGTGTCCTCAATGCTCTGAATCAGCTCTGGCCATGTCTGGTTTAACGACGGCATTGATGGTGACTTGCTTGCAGGAGCTTCGGCAGGAGAGCCTGAATAACCTACCTCACCTGGCTGATCCCCAACATCTGCTGAATCTTCCAAATCAATCAGTTTGGGCATTAAGCTTTCAGGAAATTTTTCTAGTAAGTCATAGCCATTCTTCCTAGCAACCACCAGATGAAAAGCAGCACAAAACTCATCCAGTGTCAACGCACCATCTTTATCAAAGTCTGAGAGTTCCCAAATGTGAGAAAGTTCAAGAATAGGAAGTTTTGATTTTGTAAAAAAAACTGTTTAGCTGCAGATCCTGGAATAAATCCGTTTAGATCAGGCTGAATGGTTTTAAACTGGTTTACATAATACTGTCTTTGTTCATCTGTTATTTTCCAGGGATCATCATAACTACTGGATTGCCTACGAATTTCATTGGCAGTTGTAGCTGATGCTACTGTTCGTACTGTTGTCTGGTCCTGGACAGAAGCAGGATGCATGGTTAAAAGAGTACTCGTTGGTGGAGTATCTGCAAAACTGACCCAGTTTTCTTGAGGTGGAGGTGGAGAATGGCCTGACCACACGCATCACCAGCAGAGGAACCTGATTGTGCTTCACCAAAGGGAGGCCAGAACGGCCCAGGTCCTGCAAGAGGCCTCTCACTATTCCCCCCACTGGGATGACGATTGTGCTTCCTCCTCCATGTGTGGGGAGAAGTCGGTGGGGACTGCTGTGGTGAAACTACTGGGGATGCAGGTTCCTGTGGATCTGCAGATGTACGAGACTGAACCGTATCATGGCTTATGGATCCCTTTTTCACTTGCCCTCTGCCAGGTGGTGGAGGAATTACACCAGAATAAGATCCTTGATTTTCAGAATCGGAAGAATAGGAGGCTGCAGGGCGAGATTCCTGTTCATTCTTGGAAGCAACAAATCTTGGCAGAGGAAGGTCCTTTACTGGATTTATACTTTCCACTCTTAAAGGAAAACCAGACTGGGCAACAGCTACAAGTTTCAAAACGATGTAGAATTGACTTCTTCCAAAATAACCAAGTCTTTTTGCACCACAAAGCTCCATGATCTGCACGACCACGTCGTTGGGCAGCTGCGCGGCCCGGAACGGCTCCAGCACCCGCCCGTTGACCACCACCTTCTGGGTACTCTCGATGTCGCAGTAGGAGAAGAGATCCGAGTCGTATTTCTGCTCCGCGTCGCTCAGCGTTAAGCGTTCCATCTTCGCCTCCGGCTCGCGGCCGCCCCGCCCCGCATGCAACACCCGGGGCCGGGCCCC